GGAGGAATGGCCACCGACTCCAGGGGGCCGACCAACGGCGGCGGACCAGGTGGTGGAGGAGCCCGAGGCGGAGACGGAGAACCGATAAGCCAGGGCGACGGGGAGGATCCGGAGGTCCTAGGTGGAGCAGATGGCGCCGGCGACCGATGCGGAGATGTGGATCCGGGAGGCCGCGGTGGAGCCAGAGCAACAGAGGACTGAGGTGGAGCCAAGGGGATGAAGGAGCCTGACGGAGCCAGAGGGACGGAGGGACGAGACGAAGCCAGAGGAGTGGAGTCCCGAGGCGCAGGATGGTCGACGCCAGACCAAGGCAGAGCCGGAGGGATGTGGGAGACCGGCGGAGCTAGTGGACTGCCGGGCCACAGCGAAGAGGAGGGAGCTAGGAGCCGACGGGGACATGGGCTAGAGGCTGGAGGCGGAGTCAAGGGAAACTCCAGCCACGGCAAAGCTGGAGGATGGCAGTCCCACGGAGCTCGCACCGCATAGATGGTGGGCTGAGGGCGAGCAGAGGGGCTGCCAGTAGGGTTGGGTACCGAAACTTGGTACCAATATGGAACCGGTACCTATGTAACCGGTATGTACTAGAACCGAATCAGACAGGTCGTTAACGGCTGGTCTATGGTAATACAGTACATCCGGCAGGACATCCAAATGCTCGCCTATCATTCATCCACCACAAATATGGCTTATCATCTGAAATATGTAAGTAGCAGCAATGTTAATCTAATGTTAACCTAGAAATGTGCGCTGTTTAAAGCTGGGCTCACACTGCGATTTTATTTATTTATTTATTTATTTATTTTTAAACGTCCTTTTTATGATTGTACTTGTCAGACTGTACGAACATGATGATCATGTCACACTGTGGGATCTCAGTTGTCATTCATGTCAGACTGTACAGAACGGGTGCGCGCAAGAAAACTTGTCCGGAGATTTACATTATCAACCCAATGCAGCTCATTATCAACGAGCTGCATTGCACGCATGGCTGTAATGTTGGCTATCATTAAAGTATATGAATGGCGGCAATACCAGCACTACACACCCACATGAAAACAGCAGCGCAACTGGTGTTTATCATAGCAAAGGCAACGTATCATATTAATTCAGTGAGCGGAGGACGAGAGTGCCAGAGTTTATGTGCTTATAAGAAATCTCTAGCATTAATTCTGATCATGGCTTGTCTTCAAAAACGAAGACAGTTTGACGTTCGTCGTAGAAGCCACACTGCAGGACTGTGCGCCAAATCTTCTGACACTGCCAGAAGTTCGTCGGAGGTCAAATTTGATTGCAACGGCCATTAATCGGCTGTCGGTGAACATGTCACACCAGCGATCAAAGACTACAGATTTTAGCCTAGGATTATAGGAATCTTTTAGGATTTTCAAAATTTGTCTCAGACGACCAAATCGTGGCCAAAATCGCACACAGTGATCTGGGTTTAAGTGAGAGTGGAAGAGTGGAAGCTGAACAGTAGTGCTCACTGCAGGGCAGATGGAGGCGCCGGTACGCTCACTTAATCTTAAAATACCCCGTAATTTTTGGTCATACAGATAAGAGTAATTCAAGTCTGTACCTTGTATTCACATTTCTAAACCTGTTGTCCAACAAAAGAGAACATTATAACCTTTTTACTCCACAACACCAGTCAAATGCTTCCTTTTGTGATCTGATGAGGCTTCTTGTCTCAGAATGAGGCAGAAAATATGTTCCATATGCTACTTTATAAAGAATACATCGTTTAGCAATATATTATAAATTCGGGTGACCATACGTGTCCTCTTTTTGGACCTACAAAAATGCGTCCGGCCGGGATTTCTTAGGGAACAGGCGGGGGACGAAGATCCATTTCTCGCCAGAGTCCACTCCACGAAGGCGGCGAATTCCGCTCGAGGACCATCTTCGGATGACGGCGCTCTGCACGCAGTGTTCAGGCTAGCGTCATAGAAAGCGCAGTCGTCCGGGTAGCTGGTAAGTTTGGCGAGGGCCAGAAACAGTCTGGTATGGTCCTCGAGCGAGCGCTCCCCCTGCTCCAGCAGGAGGAGGAGGAATTCGGGGCAAAGGAGGGGATCCATAGAACACAACGGAAACAAAACACTGAGGGAAAAAACACGGAAACAAAAACGGAGGGTAGACACACGGAGGTTACTGTTTTTTGGTTGGTTGTTCTGTCACGATCTGTGCTAGGAGGAGCGCGGAACGAGGAACAAGGAGACGTGGAGTACATAAACAGTCTTTAATACTGGGAATGACAGGGGAATTTCACAACATCCAACAAGTAGAACCGACAAAGGAAGACTACACAGACTGGGGCTAATAAACACAGGGCAATCAGGGGAACACAGGTGCATGGAATCAATCAAATTAACACAATTAACACGAGGAGAAAGTGGGTCACGGGGAGCAAAACACACACAGACAGTCTAGAACCCTGACAGTGTGTTTATTTATATATACATAATAAATATACATAGTATTCACACATATATTATGTAAACAAAAACTTTTTTGCGATTAATCGTTTGACAGTACTAGTTTTTTATGTATGGGGAAAAAGTATATAAATATAAAGTATATGTATTAAAATGGATGGGAACACCCAGTTCTGTCAGTGTTTATAAAAATGGTGTACTAACTCAAAATCTTTTATAACATAGTTCAGAAATATTGTACAATTATTGTTTGGTTCCGGTATGTTTAGTGAAAGCAGAGACTTTTGTGGCAAAATTATGAAAAATGCTCATTTTGTTTTCATAATAAAATAATAAAAATATACATTCAAGAAAGAAATAACATAAAAATGAATGATAAATAATAAAATATAAATAAAATATGCTTTTTAAAATATATCATAAATAAATAAATATCTTTCATAACAGTTCATAAATATTGTACAATTATTGTTTGGATGTATGTTTAGTGGAAGCAGAGATTTTTTTGTGGCAAAATTATGAAAAATGCTCATTGTTGAGTTTTTGTTTTCATATAATAATAATAATAATATATAAATAATATAAGTAAAAATAAATAAATATTTAAATATTTATTTTGTGGCATATTTATGAAAAATAATTATTTAGAGCCTTTGCTTTCATAAAAATATAATAAGTATATAAATATAAATAATAAGCATTTAAAAAAAGTAATAAAACCATCATTCATAACAAATTTGAAAATATAAACTATTTTTTGAATATATTATAAGTGAATTGTGAATGTATAAAATATAAAATTTTAAATAGTGCACAAGCAACTGTGTTTTGTCTCTTGACAATTTTGAATCTTTCACCACCAGGGGTCACAAAATTGCATAAAATCACGGCTGAGATGTATTACACAACGCAGTGCTGGACGAAGCACATGTGTGTTTGTTTCTACAGAACCTGGGAAACGAGGCGCTGGTTCTCGCTCAGCCAGGTCTCTCTCATGGCAGCCTTGCGGTCGAAGCGTCTGGCAAGCTGCTCCAGCTTCTCCTGTCGAATCAGCTCGGTCCTCAGCGCCAGCTCACGCTCGTGCTCCGCCTTCTCCAGACGCTCCCACGCCTGCGACAACACCACAGCTTCAGCACATCACAGTCACCATTCGGATTTCAAGAGATTTTACTGAGGAAACGAAATAATGACGGGAAAAAACTGATGCATTTCAATCTAAAATACAGAATCTAACCCAATCTTGCCCTCACAGAACGCACCAAAGTAAGCAAAGTACCATGGTATTTATTTGTAAGTGGATAAATAATGAATCCTAGCCAGGTAAAATTATGAATTGAAGAGGTAATCTGATAAATGTATAATAAATAATGAAAAGTAAATAAAATGTAAATAAATAATAATTAATAAATAATAAAAAGTAAATAAACTGTTTTTAAATAGATTAGAAATAAATTGTGTGCTTGTATATATATATATACACACACACACACACACAAGCATAGATAATATTGCATTTATAATATATTTTAAAAATACAAAAAATATAAATGTAAATGTATAAAAATAAAATCTAACCTAATGTAATAAATATATTTATAAATAATACTGTTTTTAAATGTTAAATTGCAATATATTTATTTATAATATATTATAAATATATATATTTTTATAAATATAATTTATTTTTTTTTTATAATATGAATAATGTAAATGCATAAATATAAAACAGTGTAAGTACAAAACATGCTGTGGTTGTACCATAGTTTTGCCCTGACGAAATGCACCAAAGTAAGCAAAATACCATGGTATTTATTTGTAAGTGAATAAATAATTAATCCTAGGCAGTTCAAAGCAACTCGGACCGAAAAAACAACGTGCAGCTCCGAAATGAAAATCAAACGTAGTGAAAACTAGGTAATTTTCACCTTGTTGATGTCTGAGATGAGTTTGCCCTCTCGTGGCATGTACACTTTCTGGTTATTGGCCCTCATCTTGCTCTGGATGGTGAACAGAAGCACTTCCAGGTTGCCTTTCTCAGTGAATCTGTGGAGAAAGCGTTGAAAATGACATTCATTCATTTGAGTTCTAATATGTGACCATGGACCACAAAACCAGTCATAAGGATCAATTTTTTGAAATTGAGATGTATGCATCATCTGAAAGCTGAATAAATAAGCTTTCCATTGATGTATGGTTTGTGAGGATAGGACAATATTTGGCTGAGATACAACTATTTGAAAATCTGGAATCTGAGGGTGCAAAAAACTCTAAATATTGAGAAAATCATCTTTAAAGTTGTTCAAATGAAGTTCTTAGCAATGCATATTACTAATCAAAAATTAAGTTTTGATATATTTACGGTAGGAAATTTACAAAATATCTTCATGGAACATGATCTTTATTTAATATCCTAATGATTTTTGGCATAAAAGAAAAATCGATAATTTTGACCCATACAATGTATTGTTAGCTATTGCTACAAATATACCCCAGCGACTTAACACTGCTTTTGTGCTCCAGGGTCACATATAATGTGTTGTATGTTTCCGGCAGACACTCACTTGGGTGGTTTCTCCACGGTCCTGTAAGTGTTGAAGGCCTGCAGCTGCTGCTGGACTCCAACCAGAGAGTTTGCAAACTTGCGGTTGTTGAGGATGATGATGGTTTGTTCAATCCACTCCAGCAGATCAGATGCCAGAGATTCATATTTCTCGATCATCTTCTCTGTCTCAATGGCGTTGTCGAGCACCTAGTGAAGACAGACAGATGTTAATGTCAGATCTGCGTTTCATAAAGGAAAGAAAAGTTGAACAGCAGTTAAAGTTAAAGCTTTAGGTAAGCTGTGGTTTTAGACTTCAATTCTGTGTTAAATGCCACATCACAGTCATTTACCGATATTTTACTGCATTTTCCGTTTAATGCGCACAAAAATCACCACATAACATGGTACCATGTGGCTATAAATGGTTAGAAATATGCAACGAAGACTAAGCCTATTACAGTTCAGAATGTAAACAGATGTAAGACTAATTTAGTTAATTAACTTATTAATAATTAATATATTTATAAAAAAAAAATATTTTATTTTTATTTATTTATTTTAATAGGAATATTTAAATAAATAAAATAAATATTTGATTAAATAATGCATTCCTATTAAAATAAAAATAAACAAAAAGACTAAAATAATCAGTCAATAAAACAGATATAAGATCCTAAGATTTGCAATTGCAGTATGTAAATATTAAGATGAGGCCATTTCT